CTCTCTCTCTCTCTCTCTCTCTCTCTCTCTCTCTCTCTCTCTCTCTCTCTCTCTCTCTCTCTCTCTCTCTCTCTCTCTCTCCTCCATCCTTGTTAGGATGGAGGTCAGTCATTCGTCGTTAGTAGTTTGAGCTAAGATGGCGGATTCTTGACCCGAGCGTGGAAATTGCAAGCTGCTTTCTTGAGGATCCATTCAGGGTGTCCTCTGAGTGTCCATTCCTTCTTCAGACTCAGGACTGGCAGCGCCGAGCAAGGGTGGTCGGTCGTGCAGCGTCTAATGCGATGGAGTTGGCTGGCGATTGCAGACATCTTTACCTGTTTGTCGTTGTAGGATCGGAAATCCTGGATTGTGTGATACTCCAGACTCTCCCCTTTGGCGATCCTTCCACGGTTCTTGGGGTCAAGCATCCTGAAGATGCTTGGTCCCTCTTGGTCGATACATACGAGGCAGCCAAGGAATTTGAGCACATTGTCGCCATCATCCATTCGTTGGAGGGAGAGTTCATCCGGGTAGCACTGCTGAACTCTCTCAATGATATCTCTTGCGCTGGATGCAGTACCCGTGTTCGTCTTGCGATATCTGACCATCACCAGCAGGTCGTCCATCAGCCGGAGACCTTTCAGTCTCTTCCTATCAGAGCAAAGGTCATGATTGAATAGGGTCTCGCTTCTTGCACGTAGAATGCAGGCGAGTGTCGGGCTCGTGCTCCCGCCCATCGGAATCCTTTGCTGCTGTTTGATCACCTCGCCCTCAGCCTTACTGTAGGAGTGTTGCAGTTCGTAGGCCACCCATTGGCGAATGGTGTAAAATTTCACTGTAAAGTAGCCTTCACGGGATCTTCTTTCCATCGATGGTTGCTCCCCTCGACAACTGACGTTCACTCTGTCAAAGCCTTTGGAGTGCATGATTTCCACGATCCATTCTACCGCGTCGATCGCAGCTTCATGTCGCAGCTCCGCAAACATGTTTTTGATGTCGAAAGTCGCTACGATAATGCCAGAGTCATCGTTCGTCTCATCACCCCACTTCTTGATTCTGAGCATCGCATCTTCGATCGATTTGACATTGAAGTGCAGCCCCTTTCCTAGCAAGTCAAGCATGCATTGAAGCGCCTTCGCAGTCCTCCTTGCCGCTTCTTTCATTGGAGAGTTCCAGGCAGGTGTTATAGGTCACGCAGTGCCCTTGTGTAGATATATGGACAGACCATGTAGGTGGCGCCAGGATTCCTATCCATCGGCATCCTCACGAAGCCGGCCAATTTGGCCGTCCATTCGATTGTTTCCCGGTACCAATCATTTGCGCCATCACTTGGTCCGATACATCTTCGCAGCTCAGCAGTATCTACCGTGAGCACTTTCCTTCTCTTACTATATAGGCACCCCAGTCCTTCAGTGATTGCAATTGCAATTCCTCCCAGCAGTGATCTCGTGTCCAGCGCTGGGATGTTCTTCGCGTTCTGCAAAAATGATGGAGCGTCCAAGTTGAGAGGCGGCATTGCACATGTCCGTCCTTCATGGGTAGGGCACTATCTGCACAGGGGCAGATGCATCCATTCGAGCGAGCATACGCTCGATGGTTATGGAGGATGTCCCCAACCGTCTGGCGTTTGGTCCAAACGACTCGTAACTTCCTCCGTACAATATCAGCAACGTCAGGTTGCAGCTCCAGTTCGCCTACCTTTAGCCGGCACACCGCATCTACCTCCCTTTTGATTATCCTATCATCAAATGGAAGTCGGATTATCTGTCTCTTCCTAATGTTCATTCCTAGTTTATCATTAATCACTTTCGATAGGATCGTCTTCAATCTTTGTCTCGTCCTGTTATCGAACCCTCTAGTAGTCTGGTATCGGAGGGTGAGTTCCTGGTAGTCCAGTCGTCCCAAGAATTTCCTTCATGGTTGCGACAGGAGCAGACGAAGCTCGCTCTTCATGCGTGCTGAGTACGTGATGGTCTCCTTCAGATTAGTTACATGTAGTGTGTCTCCTCTCTCGATCGATGCTCTGCTTTCCTTGAGCGTCATTGTCCGATCATTGACCCTCAACTCTGACAGGCGTACTTCCTCTTTATCACTTTCCTGTCTTCACACCAGATGCTGTCGGCGCTGCACTGGATCGTGAGCATAGCCCTCCCTTCCTCCAGCCCCCTTGGTAGCAGAACAGATAGCTTAGTCGACCATTGCTCTCCATCATTGAATCTCAGGATTCTTCCCCCCTGTTCACAACCGGTGCTTCTTCCCTTCCTTTCTCTCCTTCCTTTCCTAGCTTTCTTCCTTCTGCTTGAACCTGTTTTCTTCCTCTTCGCATTCAGTGTCGGGGACCATCTCTTAATGAGGCGCTTCCCCATGATATCCAAGTCCGTTGTTGAGGATGGTGCAGTGAGCGGGATAGCGATGTACTCTTCCCGTCCGTTTTTCTTGATCCAGTCGTAGAGTGGTCTTTGGCAGTTGCTGTCAGATTTGCAGAGTGTTCTGTGTTCCCTCCATCGGTCGTGTAGGTGCCTACTCATCCGTCCAATGCATAGCTTCCTAGATCTAGGTGAGATAAGTGCATAGACACATTTGCGTGGTTCATTCCAATCTATGTATATCTCTTCCCATAGATTCCAGAATTTTTTAGCCCATGGTACAGCCCCCTTGATCATCATGATCACAAACAGGCTCCTTAGCACCCCCTCTACTAGAAGCTTCCTCTCAATGTTGTGAGAGCACATCTTTCGGTATGCAACTGTCGCGTGCCATATCTCCCAGGCCTGGTCGAGGGAAGGGAATCAGTCGGAGCTTGGAGCAGGATCCAGGCTCCTTGGTTCTTCACTCGCGTCCTTCCCTCCCGTAGTATCGCAGCTAGCGTACATACGGACAGCGATGAGTTCCTTGACTGCGCGCTCTCTAGTGTGGTACTCGATATTCTCGCAGCCGCACAGGCATTGGAGTTGCGGCATAGACTTCGTACGCAGAAAGCTACGAAGCCTCGTGTCCTAATCGAAGACATCGCTCAACGCCCCATTCGTAGTGAGTCGTTTCCAGCAGGCGATCAGGTCCTCAGCGTCGAATGCGGCCATCTTTTTGGTCTGAGATCTTGTTGTCATCTTTGAGGTCTTCGGTGGTAAGCTCGACACTTTTCGAGGTGTGGAAGGTTCCCCGATCTGTATTCCGAACGATGGCTGGCGGAAGTGAAGAGTCTCTTGTGAGGTGCTCCCCTTACTGGTCCGTTGTTGGTGTAGCTTCTCAAAGTTTCGGCGCGTCTCTTGCTCCTCCCCATCTTTTTCAGGTATGTAGTTTCCATCTTCCCAGTCGGGGTCCTCCCATCGCTCATTGCCCCCTGCCATCGTCTGTCCTCTCGATCTTCTCAGATCTTCTTCTCTCCCTCGTTGTTGTCTCTCCCATTCCTCCTTCTGCTCTCTCACTCTCTTCCTCGCTCGTTCTCTCTCCTTCTCTTCCTTCAGTTTTCTCAACTGCGCAATTTTATTCTTCAGTTCCGCCGCTTCTCGCTCCGGGCTGTCTATGGCCAGTTCCTTCTCTGGATCGATGATCGCGGCTCTCATCTTATCTGCTTCGTTCCGGTGGTCGTCACGTGCCGTCATTCGTCCTTGTAATGCCTCCATTTGGCCAGCTAGTTTGTCGTGCATGGTCTTGAGCTGCGAGGTCATCACGCTCATCAGCCTAGCATCTCTAATTTCCGCTTGCCTCTCCATCTCGGCTTTCCTCTGCTGGTGCGCTTCCTCCTCTTGTTTCTTGCGTTCCGCATCGATTCGCCTCGCTTCCTCCGCTAGTTCTCGATTCTCCCTGTCCTTCCTCTCTTTCGCCAGTGAAGAACAGAAATCCCGAATCCAACCGATATCTGCGACGTCCTGTTTTTGCTGGTAGTTAAGCCTTGTATACGGCCTATAGTTACTATTATTGTTATTACTACTATTATTTGGTGCATTCGGTCTATTAGGGCAGTCTCTAGCGAAGTGCCCTTCCTGGCCGCATGTGAAGCATGCCATCCTTGGGCGGTTCCCTCCAGTGTACTATCCCCTTTCCCAACTAGCTTCTTCCAACTATCTTCTCCCAACTATCATCTCCCAACTATCACTCCCTCATTCCTAGACTACACGCCCACCGATCTAGGTAGTCTTCCCACTCGGTTAACGTGTCAACCTTCTGCGTAGGTGACAGTTGCCATAGGTCTGGCTTGTCGCGCGTAAGCAATTTACCAAGCAAACAGAACATGCACAATGCAACAGATAAGCAGTATGTGTCCTATCCCGGATTCTCCTTCGAATTCATGAAACAAGCACAGTCAGCATAGGAGCTCGAAGTCATCACCAGGATTCATCATGCCAAGTCCGATTTCTCAGAAAACGACACGCGACATCTTAAGTGTCGGCCATATCCTTACTCTTCCACGGCTCTCCCCGACGCCGCGTTTCGGACGGTAGCCAACCGTCCATCCTCAGGGGGGCTCACTCCGCCAACCCAGATCCACCGAACCCAAAAAGCCTGAGAGTAACAAACCGGATACTTTTATCTGTCCGCTGGTATGCTACAAAAGCCCGCTTCCTAAAGAAAAATAAAGAAAAATAAATAAAAGGGAAAAGGAAAAGGGCAAGGCCTGCGGGAGGTGCAGAGAGGGAATGGTCGGATCTGTCGAACAGCTGGCCGCGGGCATTACTGACACTTACCTCCTGCCCCGCCTGTGCCTGGCGAGAGGGCGAAGGCCCAAATATTGCCAGCTAGTCCGAGGTTCTTACCCGCCTATATTTCCTCACTCACGCCCTTCTTTTCCTCACTTTCTCCCTCTCTCCCTCTTTCTCTCTCTCCCACTCTCTCTCTCCTCTCTCTCTCTCTCTCTCTCTCTCTCTCTCTCTCTCTCTCTCTCTCTCTCTCTCTCTCTCTCTCTCTCTCACCTCCATCCTTGTTAAGGTCAGTCATTCGTCGTTAGTAGTTTGAGCCAAGATGGCGGATTCTTGACCCGAGCGTGGAAATTGCAAGCTGCTTTCTTGAGGATCCATTCAGTCGTCCTCTGAGTGTCCATTCCTTCTTCAGACTCAGGACTGGCAGCGCCGAGCAAGGGGTCCGGACGCAAGACACTGCAGGTTTTTGGGGTGGCGGGTTTCACACAGGCCCGAGCGATTTCAAAGCGGCCATTTTGATGTGGCGCCCGCCGCTGCTGCCCGTTGGAGGGAGAGAGAGAGAGAGAGAGAGAGAGAGTTATGCGAGCATATAATTGCTCATTTTCCTTGCTGTTAGGTGAAGTCCTGGCATTCAGAAATTGCTTTCTGTGAAAACAGTTATCTGTCATGTGTCACCGACAGAGAGGAAGCGTCTGAGTTAGTTGTAAATTACGTGCTTTGCGCTAATGATACCCATCAGAGAGAGTCCTTCATATATGTTGTTCAGCTCGGCTACCAGAGTGGCACGGGAGTGACGGGACCACTTGCTCGGTCAGGCCAAAAATAAAAATTAAAAGTTAAAAAAAATTCAAATTTGGTGAAGAATTTCCATGCGACCCTGAGGCAAGAGTTGTTCAACATAGGTTTTTTTTGGGATGTTTTGGAGTATTTTGTTTCTGTTTTTGTTTTTTTTTGCTGGGACCTTCCCTGGTCCTTGCACGGCCCGGCCACCCGGGAAAACAAGGTGGCCCGAGCGGCCGGGCTGGTAGCCTAGTAGTTTGGGTAATCTTTTCATGCAATCTATTTTTGCTCTGCTCTCAAACCTCTTTGATACCCATCAGAGAGTCTCTTTTTTTTTTTTTTTTGTGCTCATTTGTGAAACAGAACCTTAAGGTTCTGGCTCCTTTTCCATTCTGGGGAGCATCAGTCCGGTTCCTATTCCCCTGGCAAGTCAAAAATAGTACAATGGTTACCCACTCACGCTCCTCCCCCTTATGAGGTGGAGGCCCTGAAGACGGCATTGATTACTTCCTTGAAGAAGGATGTACCGATCTTCACCCCTGCTTAAGTTGGCCTGTTCAAGACTGGTGTTGACCTTGGGGACTATAACTGTTTGCTCCTTGTACTTGCTGGCAAAATCATGTCTCTTTTCAGTCTGTATTTCTCTGTGGACTTAACCTGTGGGATATCTATGCTTTTCTAGGACCGTAGATGAGGCAATGCCATGTCCTTCCCTCTACTTCCGGATTCCCTTTGTGTAGTTTTGATTGAGGATGTAGTGTAAGGCTAAGACCCTGCACGCTACCTTCTTCCCCCGAATACAACGTACGGTCATTATGGCTGTATTAAGACCGAAAGATACCCCAAATACAGCAATAATGACCATACATTGTATTCGGGGGAAGAAGGTAGCCTTTGACTCTTTGACACTATTCTTCTCTCGGGGGTTGTTCCTTGAATGTATCGAATGTTGATAGGTGTTCAAGTGTTCTACTTGAAGTCTGGGGTAGACTCGAATTGTAGTTGGTGGGATAGGAGGGGGGTTGACGGGCATAAGAAATTTTAGATAGGTGCTCATTGTGGGACGAATGCTAGACGTGGAAGCGGGTAGGGAAAGGGGGGGGGTGTAAGTTGGTTTGTGATTACTCGGATGTTTTTAGGGTATGGAGGAGGGGTGGTTGTAGGTGGTGTGTGGAGGGGCGGGGTCAGGGAGATTGCTGCTTTGTGGATGGTTGGGTGTTATGAGGTTGGTTCGGTATCAATAATGGCTGGGATATAGGTGGTGGTGACTGGTCAGGAATTGTCAGTATGCATAAGCAGTTCTTGAGGGTGAGTCTGTCATTATTTATTGTGCCTGGCTGCACTTTTCCTAGTTTGAAAGTTATGATTTTTTTTTATTTTTTCTATCGGGGTCGGTAGGGACTTGGTTGAGTTGCTTTTCTTAATGAGTGGAGGCGATTGTCTGAGTTCGAGGAGTAATGCAGCGGGATTAATTAAGAGAGGTAGGTTTGTGGTTTTGTTCCGTGAAACCTCCGAGTCGATTGCTTGCCAGTTGGATCTGGCTTTCGGGCAATCTATGAAGCAGTGATTTAGGGATTCTATGGATTGGGTGTTGCAGACTTTGCACCAGGAGTATTGTTCCCTTCGTTGCGTCTGCGTGCCAGCCATTGGTTTACTGGTACTGCTCTTAGGACTAGTAACCATCTATCCCAGACTATTCTTCTCGGGTCTTGTCTTGAAGATTGAGACCCAGAGGGGGTTGAAGAAGGTGTTGGATAGTTGTGGTTCCTCTTTTGTCCACCTGTTGTGAACAGTGTTGGCTATAGATATAGGTTTGGTGAAGAGGCAATGGCCTAATTTGGGTGTATAATCGGTCAGTTTAATGAGGCTTGGGGTAGGGGCGAGGCGGGCAGAGGTATTCCATGTTCATTCGATAGGGTCAATCTCTAGGTTTTGTACGCTTACTGGTTGGGGTTTGTAAACTCTGTTTATTTCTCCTTCTATGATTCTGATTCTTCTCAGGTTTCTGGGACCCATCAGAGAGTCCTTGATTTCTGCTGGTTAGGTAATTTTTTGCCGCAATGGAGTTGTAGATGTTTTTCGAGAATTCTAAAGATTAACTTTGCGCTTGACCTATGAAGCTTCAGTTTTTTAAATCAATTTTTTAATTTCTCGAGTGCCAGTGGGAGCGTCCCAAGTTAGTCATTAGACTCATAAGTGAAACCATCTGTATACGTTCTTGTCAGTGTGTATTTTGCAATTGCTTGAATCATCTCCCTTTGCAAAGTTTACCCCGTATGTGTTTTAAATTTCCACCACAACAGCCCCTATTCCACACAGATGAGTAGATTCGACTGGACCCAACCCAACAATTAAACAATTTCTCCTCTTTAGCAAGCAACATAAATCATAATAGAACCATTTAGAACTGTGTTTAGCAGGGGTTTCTTTGGGGAAACAGCTCTTTTACCCTGCCTCGCACATACAAGCCTGCCCACGTTGATTGTGGTTAAGCGTCAGCTGCCCACATCCCTGTGTGCCTTAACGGCCACTTAACAGCCATTTCGTCAAAACGGACATATTATATTTTTTGAACGAAATCAAAACTGACTTTTTTTGCCAAAATCCGGTCGGAATTTTTTGATCCTGGGGATCCGGCGTTCCCAAAACGCCGGACCCCCCTGGTCTATGGTTGAGACCAGATGGTCTCAACCATAGACCAGGGGGGTCCGGCGTTTTGGGAACGCTCAAAAAATTCCGACCGGATTTTGGCAAAAAAAATCAGTTTTGGTTTCGTTCAAAAAATATAATATGTCCGTTTTGACTAAATGGCTGTTACTTGATCATTATAACAGGAGAAAGAGTAAAGGGGAAGGTAAGCTCCTGTGCGTTCCACTTCGGATCTTCACACTCCTGATCATTTCACTTCAGATCTTCAGCTTATACTTAGTCTCTGTGTCTGTCGTTTGTTTTCATACTCTTGTTCACTTCTCTTTAGATCCTCAGCTTATACTTTGTCTGTTCTCTTAATGATGCTTATCCGTATGTATTTGCTACTATTTTGCTAGTAGCACATAAGGGGAGGGTGGAAGGAAAGGGATAGGAGGCCGAGTTCTATAGGAGTATGAAGAAGGGAGAAGTGGAGTGCAAAGGGAAGAAGAGAAATATGTGAAGGGCAGGATCATAGAGAATGACATGCAAAGGACAGGGGTGAGATATGTGACGAACTTGTCCTAGATGAGGACCTCTAAGAAGTGCTAAGTAGTTGGTGGTCGGGTGTTTGAGTGCCTGCAATGGGCGCTGTCTGTGGTGCATAAGGTCTATGCGTGGATGCTAAATGCCCATCGGAGTACCTTCCTGGCTCAGCAGGTGGTGGGAGCCAACAGTCTGTGGGGTTCAATCGTGATGCGAGTAGGTAATGCGCTGCTTGCTCCGTGTTGGATGTTCAGACTGCCTCGTCTGCACTCTGCCGCTGCCTTGCTGCCCATCCTGCTTGCCTCGCATGCCGTTGGTTGCAAGCTAATAAACCCGACCAGATGCACACGATAAGAAAAACACCAACCCAGTCGTTCAGCAGTCGTACCGACGGCAATTCCTTAAAGCAACGCCACCATGATAACCTTGGGCACTGGGACCTTTGTTAAAAAAAAAAGAAAGTATGTAAAGAAGAAGTAAGAAGAAGAAGAAGAGAAATCTGACCGATGCCATCTCTATCTGGCAAGGCAAGGCAAGGCAAGTGAACAAATCAATTTAAATGAGGCAAGCTTCATAGATGAAGCACGAAATTTAATTTTCGAAAACCTAGTTAAACTCAGCTGAGCAATGAATTTACGCCTACAACTGCAATGAGGGACCCTATAGTAGTAAAAAGATGAATGACGAGAGCTTTGAAAGCCACATGGCGCAGTAAAAAAACCTGGACGCTCCCCCTGTCGACACCGCATGACAGATATTATTCTCACGAATACTAAAATACTCCGGAATAGAGAAAAAGAGAGAGACCATACCTACCCCCCCCCCCCCCCCCCCCCCCCCCTTCTCTCTCTCTCTCTCTCTCACCCTCCCGCCTGGATTACCTACCTGAAAAACAGTGGCAAGCGATCACCAGACCGAGTCCCAAGAAACTCTCAATTGGAGTAGAGACGCGCCAGCAAGCCCTCCTTCCTATTGTCTTCTCCTACCCTGTAGGCGGTAGCTAATGAAAACCCCATCACCGCCCGAACTCGACGCGTGCGCAATCCCACAATTCTATGAATGGATTTGCATTCTTGACTCACTCAAGTGCGAGCGGCACCGTCTTGACGCACTCCTTGTACTTGAGATTGTAGAACATCTCGATGTACCTCTTCGCCTCCCTCCTCTCCAGGTTGGASACGAACTTCCAGAAGGTGTACACACGGGAGAGAGTCATGAGCCTCTCCGCGTAGATCTCCCACGTGAATTTGCTGTAGATCCTCTCCAGTCCGTCCTTGGACAGCTGATCCCACTCGCCGGGGTTTGTCTTGCACCTCTCGAAGAAGTCGGCGATCAAATCCGCCACCTCCTCCGGTCGGTACATGTCGATGTGGTATCCCGAAACGCCGTGCTTGATGACCTCTGCRGGGCCTCCGTGACAGGTGGCAAACGTCGGCAGCCCCGAGGTCATGGCCTCCACCACAGTGAGACCGAATGCCTCGTAGAACGCCGGCTGGATGAAAGCGCCCCTGGTGTCTGCAATGTACCTGTACAACTCTCCGTTGCGCATCCGGTGCTTCTGCGCCACGATCCACCGCATGTCGCCCTTGTCCAGTCCGTACTTGTCGATGACGGCGTGCATCGCGTTGATCTGGTGCACCTCCTCCCTGTCCATGGACAGGGACGGGTCGATGTAGCCTCCCACGATGACCAGGTTGACCAGTTTCCGCAGGCGCGGGCTCTTGCCGAACATCTCCGCCAGACCCGTCAGGTTCTTCACCTTGTCCAGACGCGCCATGGTGAAGATGATGGGCTTGCTCCTGTCCTTGAGCACGCCGCGGCACAGCTTGTCGTCCTCGGTCTGCCCGTACAGCAGCTCCTCGATCTCAGGGTGGAACGCCGTCAGCCTCTTCTCCTTGATGTAGTACGGATAGTAAGTGTCGGCGTCGGCGCCRGGGGCGACGATGTTGAACTTGGGGTCGAACACGTCGATGCCGTTCACAACGCGGTACAGCCCGGGCATGGTGTATGCCTGGTGCGACTCGTACTGCCCCACAGTGTCCGCCCTACCGGCGATCTCCTGGAACGTGCTGGTGATGATGAAGTCGGCGTGGTTCATGGCGATCAGATCCGCAGTGAATTGGCAGGAGAAGTGATACTTCTCATCCAGCTCCTTCCAGTTAAGGTCGGAGTTGGGGTACTTGGTCTTCTCCAGCGCGTGGGCGATCGTGCAATGCGCAACCTTCAGCCTGTGCGCGAGCAGGACAGCCACCAAATTGCCGTCGCTGTAGTTGCCGATGATGAGGTCGGGATTGCCGCCGAACTCAGCGCGCAGCTCGTGYACGGAGTCCTCCGTGAACTGCTCCATGTAGGGCCARACRTCGAARCGRGAMACCCACTTGCGCAGCACRCTCCCGTCCTTGGGGTTCTTGAAGGGCACACGGAGGATCTTCGAGTACTGCGTGCCGTCTATGTTCTCGATCCGCTGATTGCAGGCCGTTCCCTGGGCGTCAGGGATCAGCCGGGTCAGCACGATGATCTGAGGCTTGAAATTCAGCCCCTGCTGCTTGCTGTGGTTCAGCAAATCTCGTTCGAGCGCCTTCACCTGGTCCAAGATGTACACCACCTGCCCTCCGGTGTCCGGAAGGCCGAGGACATTCGCCTGCCCGAAGTAGCCGTGAGGCGACATGATGGCAACATTGAAGACGAGCGGGAGGCGGCCCAGGAACCTCTCCAGCAGATCTGCACCAGGCGCCTGAATCAGGTCCGACAGCATGACCAGCATCTCCTTGATCCGCTCGGCGGTGTCACCCCAACCGCGCTCGAAGCCCAGCTCCTGCAAYTTGGTGGCCACGCTCCCGACGGGCGTGTCGCCAGGGAGCGCTCCCAGGTACTCCTCCGCCTTGGCGAGGTTGCAGCGGAGYTTCTCGAGCGTGTCGATGCGCTCGTTCAGCATCAGCGTCTCGCCCACGCACTTGTAGGTGCGCAGAAAGTCCAGCAGACGTTGAAGGCCATCCTCCTTGAACATCCGAGTGGACAGGTGCTTGTTCAGGTAAGACACACCCTCCCCGATGGACGAAGGACGGGTCATTCTCGGGAAGCTGGCATTGAATGGCTCCATGTCGATCTCCAGCGTGGCGAAGTCGCTGCAAACTGGAGGCGCCWCATCGTCAGTAGCCTTCACRCGCTCCTTRAACTCCAAGTACTCCGACGGGCTGAGYTGCTCCACCGTGAGCTCGAACACGTTGATTCGAATGTACTGCCATTCCGCCACACGAGGACGGACTGCCAGCGCGATGTAAGGAGGAACGACGACTGCCTCCTGCGTCCCTCGCAGGAGCTTGGCGAAAGCGCTCTCCTTGATCTGCGTGCCGGCGAAGCACTCCAGCTCGGCAACGCGGTCCAGCTCGCTTCTCAGCTCGTGCGGCTGCAGCATGTGCTTCCCGTTCGCCACGTAGCGAGACAACAGCAGGACGATCTGGTTGCGGTACTCGGCGATGGATCCCTTCACRCGATCCGTCATGCTGTGCAGCCGAGTGAGCTCCGGAAGCTTCTCCGGGCGRGGGACCAGGTCGCTCAGGTCGGCGGTAGTCCGCTGGCTCGCCATCGCCGGTGTGCTCCTCGCGTTTCCCGCTCACCGATAAACACAACCTAACGAGGCAGTCAAACTACGCACCCGCAAGGAACACGCGACAGGACCGACGGGCACAGCGGCGACACACACGCTCTGGTCGGAGACTGCGAGGAGGACGGGATCACTGCTTTCTCGACTGGAGACACTGCCTTTTTACGTCGAAAAAGCGCGGGTCTTTTGGTGCTCTGTCTGTCACTTAATGGAGCGGACGTGATGACAGAAAGTGGCGCCTCAAAGAGTTTTCGTCTTTGTCGCTTTTTTGTCTGCGAAGGAGGACAACAGCAGTGCTTCTCGGCGTCAGTTTCGGCTGTATTGCATTCATGGAGCTCCCTCGAAGGGATGCGGCGGCTCGCTTTTTGTTCTCGTTTTTTATGGGCCTCGCTGCACTTAGGGCATAGCGAAACGTGCTTTGGCATGAGCTGCGCATCGCTGCGCTTAGGGTATACTCACACTCCGACCCCAAATCCGCAAAATATGCGGATTTGGGAAGGGCCGATTTGAGGTTTTGGTCATGCTTGACGTTACAAGGTCGCGGCCGTCATCCAGAGATTGTGCAAGAACTTTTGTGAACGAATTTTTGGCATTTTTTGAAGAGAATGCAAAAAAAAAAAAAAAAAAAAGGCTTTTGAGGTCACCTCTAGAGGTGACCGCAAAATCCCGGGCACAGGGCCTCGCTCCACTACTCTCGAAATGTGCAAAACGAGAGTGAATCTTCCGCTAGAACAAGGAAAGATACATGGCCATAATTTTTGTCTTTTGTGCATTTTCGGAGTAGTGGAGCGACGCCCACAGTGTCGTACTTTCCCAGGCACAGTGTTGTACTTTCTCGCTCAATGGACCGGTCATGGTGGAACTGAGGGCATACTCACACGGGGACCAAAAAGCCCAAAATCCCAAAATTTGAGTCGCTTTTCGGGGCACACTGGGGTGGCACGGTGACCAAATGCCTCAAACCGTGACCCTTCTGTCAGCGGCCTGCCGGGCCGCGGGTGAACCCTTTTTGAGACCACCTCCGGAGGTGGTCTCAAATGACCAAACGCTTTTTTCTTTTTGTGTTCGTGAATTCAAGAAAATCGTAGACGAATAAGACAGTGCGCGAAACAACTGGAGGGGCGGGAATCGGGGCATTTGGGTTTTTTGAAGCCCGTCGCCTAGTCACATCACGCGCATGCAGAAGACCCAGCTCTGTATGGTTTGTCGTGTGTTGCGGAGGTGTAGCGCCCGCCTCTCCCCACACCTCCGCCGCTCTCCCCACATCTCCGCCTGTCTCTGCTCCGCCGAGAGCTCAACCGTTGGGAATGCGTGTGAAATGTATGTGGTTGGTTTCATGGGTCTGATGCATTCCCAGTGTCCTATCCACCCGTTTGTTTCGGCCCAGGGGAACAGTGTGGATACATGGAACTATTTGCATGTATCTGCACTGTTTGCCTGGGCTGATGCGAACAGGGTGATTCATCGTGGGGAATGCATCCGAGCTCGTTTGGAGTTCGGATGCATTCCCCTCGATGAATCACCCCGTTCGCATCAGCCCAGGCAAACAGTGCAGATACATGCAAATAGTCCCATGTATCCACACTGTTCCCCTGGGCGGATACAAACGGGTGCGGCATAGGGAATGCATCAGGCCATGTTCCAGCGGGAAGTTGGCTGTCGTCTTGCACATTTCCCAGAGAGGTGTGGCCCACGTTATACTGGCGCGAAAGGAATAAAAGAACAAATTCCATATTTGTTTCTGTTTTTTTTTTTCTAATTCCATCTTTTTTTCTTGGTCCTCGACCGTGTGACCCGCCTCACTTGCCCTGAACCCAAAGTGTCAGGGTCGCGACTTCGTCCTTTCTGGACGAAGTCCGCCCGTGTGATCACACGGGGACCAAATGCCTCAAAAAAACCGGACCAAATGCCTCAATTTTTTGAGACTTTTGGTCCCCGTGTGAGTATGCCCTGAGGGTATACTCACACGAGGACCCCAAAACCCGAAATCCCAAAATTTGAGTCATTTTTCGGGTCACACTGGGGAGGTTCGCTACCCAAATGCCTCAAACCCTGCCCCTTCTGTCAGCGGCCTGCAGGACCGCGGGCGTACCCTTTTTGAGACCACCTTTGGCGGTGGTGGTCGCAAATTACCTTTCGTTTTCTTTTTTCCGTTTTCTCGAATTGAAGAGAATCGTAGACGAAGAAGCCAGCCCGCCAAACAACTGAAAGTTCGACCAGGTACATTTACTTTGCAGATAAGGCCCAAGCGTTAATTTTTTTTTTCAAACGATCCATCTTTTCGTTTGGTCCTCCCTGTGTGACCGGGCGCACTTGCCGTGAATGCAAAGTGTCAGGGTCGCGACTTTGTCCTTTCTGGACGAGGTCCGCCCGTGTGACCACACGGGGACCAAATGCCTCAAGGCATACTCACACGAGGACCAGAAAACCCAAAATCCCAAAATTTGAGTCATTTTTCGGGTCACACTGGGGAGGCTCGCTACCCAAATGCCTCAAACCGTGACCCTTCTGTCAGCGGCCTGCAGGGCCGCGGGCGTACCCTTTTTGAGACCACCTCCGGAGGTGGTCTCAAATTACCTTTTGTTTTCTTTTTTCCATTTTCTCGAATTGAAGAGAATCGTAGACGAAGAAGTAAGCCGGCAAACAATTGAAAGTGCGACCAGGTACATTTACTTTGCAGATCCATCTTCTCATTTGGTCCTCCCCCGTGTGACCGGGTGCGCTTGCCGTGAATGCAAAGTGTCAGGGTCGCGATTTCGTCCTTTCTGGACGAGGTCCGCCCGTGTGACCACACGGGGACCAAATGCCTCAAAAAAGGCAAACCAAATGCCTCAAATTTTTGAGACTTTTGGTCCCCGAGGACCAAAAAACCCAAAATCCCGAAATTTGAGTCATTTTTCGGGTCACACTGGGTAGGCTCGCTACCCAAATGCCTCAAACGGTGACCCTTCTGTCAGCGGCCTGCAGGGCCGCGGGCGTACCCTTTTTGAGACCACCTCCAGAGGTGGTCTCAAATTACCTTTCGTTTTTTTTTTTCCGTTTTCTCGAATTGAAGAGAATCGTAGAGGAAGAAGCCAGCCCGCCAAACAAATGAAAGTGTGACCAGCTACATTTACTTTGCAGATAAGGCCCAAGCGTTGATTTTTTTTTTTCAAACGATCCATCTTATCATTTGTCCCCCGTGTGACCGGGCGCACTTGTCGTGAATGCAATGTCTCAGGGTCGCGACTTCGTCCTTTCTGGACGAGGTCCGCCCGTGTGACCACACGGGGACCAAATGCCTAAAAAAAGGCGAACCAAATGCCTCAAATTTTTGAAACTTTTGGTCCCCATGTGAGTATGCCCTCAAAAAACGCGAACCAAATGCCTCAAATTTTTTAGACTTTTGGTCCCCGTGTGAGTATACCCTGAGAAGGAGGGACGCAAATGAGGATACAAGCAGATCTCTCTACCTAAGACACGTATGCGCTTAGCAGCAACGCCTCTTGTGAGGGAACAGACGGCCCAACTTTGACTTTGGCTATGGGCGACAGATAGCCCTCCCACAAGGTGGGGTAGAATATTATTTAGGAGTCCGAGGAACTTCAGATTCGGCAGAATTGGGGTATGACCCCCTTGAGAGAAGAGCCGCCAAACTATATGACACGTAAGGTGTTTGGCGGGCCCTCTGGGGCTGGGGCACGAAGAGGGCTACTCCCGAAGAGGCGTTGACTGAGAAGAGAGGACTGAAGACCGGAGGTGTGGCATACGGACTTCAGGAATGCTGTCCTACTCCCGAAGAGGCGTTGACTGAGAAGAGAGGACTGAAGACCGGAGGTGTGGCATACGGACTTCAAGACTCGGACAACATTGCCTTCGTAAGGAGAGTATGACCCTGGCATGGATCCGCCTCCGGGGACCTCGAAGGTCCTAAGTCGCCGAAGAATACGGTCATAACTAACAGAAGGTTATTGGGCAAGTCTTCTGCTCCGAGTCTCTGACCAATAGGCGCAACGAAAGTGCAACCGGGAATTTTGAGGCCGCATTCACCCGCACCCCTAAGAGAAGGTATAGCTCTGACGCGCCAGCTTCTGGACCTGTGTCAGCTTCCACCCCCCCACCTCCCTCCCCCCCCCTCCCCTTCTCTTTTTTAAATTTTGGTGGCTTGCAAACAGGCCGACAGGGCCTCTCTTTTTAAATTCATGTACATCAATCGTAATTAGGGAAGCCCTTTCTTCTCGGGACCTTCGTCATTTTTGGATCGATTTTTGGAATTTCATCTTTTGCAATTCGGAAATGCATGGGAATTACGCGCGCCTTAGCGAGCTCGCTAGGAATTTGGGTCGACAGTTAGGAATTCCGGAATGAGCGGAACCTAACGTGTTCGTTCTTGTGCATGAATGTCTCGACTTCGTCGTGGAAAACTCCGGGAATTCTCGTAGGAATCTGAATAGGTATAGGATTTTTTCCCTCACTGACTCTACGCGCGGATATGGTACTTGTGGATTTTGAATTAGCTGTAACTGTTTCGGTGTCCTTTTTGCCTTTGCGTCGGCGCCATGCATGCGAATCTCCCCTCCCCGCTTCCCTCGCTACCTTCGACCCTCTCTTCTTCGCACTCACGCAACTTCTTTCTCTATAATCGTTTTCCATCTCTCCTTCGCCTCACTCGCCTTTTCTCTTTCTTGATCGTCTGAATCTGGGTTTCGTTCCACACTATCCCTCGCGTTCTTCTTCTTCCTGCTCTAATCTTTGCGCCGAAATATTGTGGACTCCCTCTTCCTTTCCTCTAGCCAAGGAGACGCGCCGTGTACAAGGGAAATTTTTGTTACACGACGATTCTGATTGGCTACTACTGGGATCCAAAGGATCGATATGGCTTTCGTCGGGCGAGTATCCTCGAACCTTCCCCTACTCCTCCCTACCTCAGTCCTAATCCTTCCTAGCATCTATCTTTTTTACGACATCTATAAATTCCGCAAGCGCTCCTAGAAATCTCTCTCTCAAATCGTCGGCCAGCTTCCGGGAAGCAGTGCCTAAATGGTGTGTGTAAAGGCGAGTCGA